AAGAAGGTTTGATGAGAGGAGCAAGCTATAGGCATTGATTTTTTTATTTGGTGTTGATAATTTTGTAATTTTGTTAAAGTTAAAGGTTAAAATGGGTATAAAAAAGGAATGGGAATGGTGAAATTGGAAAAAATTGAAAGAAGATTGCATGAGAAATTGAACCGGTGATTTTTCTGGTTTCACCGGTTTTATCGGTTTTTACCGGTTTTATCGGTTTTTGACCAATTTTTATCGGTTTTATCGGTTTTTGACCGGTTTTGACCGATTTTGACCGGTTTTGACCTAAAACGGTTTTTTTATATGAACCGAACCGTTTTTATGACCGGGTACCGGTCCGACCGGTTCAACCGGCCGGTCCGGTCCGGTTTTAAAAACCTTGGTACAGACCGAAGGAATGATGCTTTTTTTTAGTAATAATCCTTAAATAATTAAAATCAGATACTCTATATCTGGATATGCTCTCGGGTAGACTTTCAAAGATTTAAAAAAAAAAAAGAAAAGAAAAGAAAAAAGAAACCTAAACTGAATAAGTTGTTAGACGATACTGAAACTGTTTGATCATTTTTTTATTATAAATACATTTTTTTCTTAAAATTTACTTAGATTTATTTTTAATATATAAAATTATAATTTTATAATCATAATATAATATTATATTACATTATAAATTATTAAATAAATATATATATTATATTATAAAATTATAAATATACACTACATGTACGTGTGATAATAACTGTAATATTTTAATATTTCGAGTAATTATAAAAAGATATTTTTAAAAAATTGAGGTCAATTTTCACTAAACATGGCTTAAAGTTATGTGAAAAAAAAAAAAAGAAAAAGAAAAAGCATAGCTTAAAGTTATTTACACATTTTCTTTATTTGTTGGGTCAAACTGAATGTCTGACCAATAGAAAGGAAACAGGTAGTAAATTTAAAAAATGAAAGAAAAGAAATGATATACCTAGCAGTTTCCGGCATCAACATCCGCCAATAATAAGTCAATGCAGCCGGAACGCCGCCGATCATCAGAATCAACCGCCACGAGATGTCGGCAGCGTCCGGCGTGTAATCTTTTGAAGCATGCGATCCCTTCTGAAATATGGAGCAAATCACCATTGTCATAGCCGAGCTCGCCAAAATCCCAAACCCCTGCATCGAAAACACTGCCGCTATGAACGCTCCACGGGTGTTCTTGTTGGCAAACTCTGACATGATTGTTGCCGACAGCGGGTAGTCCCCGCCTATACCCAACCCAAGCAAGAACCGGAAGAACCCCAGACTCAACAAGATACAAGTTCTTGT